ATTACATTTTTGTCAATATATAGCGAAAGTTCCAACTCATGAATTAATGTTTTTTTAACGATTAAGATATTTAGATATTTCACAGTGGAAGAATCAAGTTGATGTGATGAATGAATGTCATTAAGCTACTTCAGCTTCTGGGTCTTGTTTTGTGCATGTTGGTCAGGTTGGGCTGGGCAATAAAACAATATCAATCATTTTCATCAATAGCAATATACCAGAAGTCCAACACAAATAGATTTAATACTTATACATGTTGTAAACACAGTGAGGACGCATAACACATAATTGATCTACATCAGATCTGTTAACTCATATGTTGATTATTTTTAGCCTTATCACTCAGCCCCACATTTTGGTTCACTGCCATGACTTAGCAGAACACGTGGACAAAACAGGACCATTGTTGTGTTTTGCATGTAGGGTCAAAATGTCTGCTGCTGTGTAAAACACCAATTATTTTAATGTATAACACAAATTATTCTCGACTAAACAAAGACAAAAAACTGTCAGTCTCATGTTATAAACAATGATCAGTGTGAGTGTGTAACTGTAGTTGTGTGTGTGACAGTGGACGATCACCTGCTCGGTGGGGAACAGTGTGTTGATGTACTCCACAGCATTGAAGTCTGCTCTGTCCAGAGGGTCCTGACTGGGAAAGACCTTGCAAACAAAACGTGACATAAAGCATTCTGGTCAGGAAGTCATGTCCGTCTGTCTCACTGAATACCTGAACATGAGGATGACTTCAATGTGCATTAAGGTGAAGCCTTGTGAGGTTATTCTCAGTTGTATTGATAGAGCTGCAGCTAATCATTAGTGACAACCTGTTTAATGAGTAAACCTGTGAGATCCCGGATGTTGTGTCATCAGATATCTTAACATTACTCCCAGCTAACGTTAACCCAGTATTAAACAGTGTTAAATGACTGGAAGTGTTTTATAGATCTATAAAACAGCAGCGTCACATCCAGAGAGCAGCAGCAGGATGTGTTAGCTTGCTAACAGCTGTGTGTGTGTTTAAACACACACACACACACACACACACACACACACACACACACACACACACACCAGTAACTGAATGAAACACCAACCTGCTCAATGGCGAGCTGCACCTCCGGGGTGAGATGCAGAATCGACTCCAAATCCTCCGCCAACTCAAATTCTTCCTCCTCCATCATCGTCAAAACAAAGCTGCGAGAGACGTCTCCGGCAGAACACTTCCTGGTGCAGAGGATTCTGGGATGCTGTCAAACGGTGCTTTCAGGGGTGTCGGGAAACCAGAGCATGAAACAAAGAAAGCCGACTCGGGTGTTAATTCATTAATAAATAAAGGTGACAACAGAAATAGGTATATTTTATAACTTTATAGTTTTTTCCTATTTTTTTCAAGTACATAGTCTGGTATCAATCATGACATTAATGGACTGTTGAGGAATTGTTGACCATCCTCACACATTACTGTATATGCCACTATATATTTTGTATATGATGTATATTACATTTTATCTGTTCACCATTAAGAGAATAGTGCCAGTTTAAATCACACATCTCTCTCTAAGCAGTACCCAAGGTCAGGTTATAGATAAAGGACCGACCAACAGAACCTTGTAGTGTGTACACTTAGGGACTTTCATATCTTATTCAGATGCCCCAGACAGAGAGGCACCAACTTCAACTCTTCTGTGTATTTCACCAGTGGCAAGACATAAGGACACAATGTGATTTAGGAATGCATATTTAGACTTAACTATCCAATAGGATGTGAACACCTACATGGAACCATTCAAAATTAAAACACCAGTAGGACATTTTTACATCTGTCACTACAGAAAGCGTCCATGTACTTATTAAGTTTCCAAATCAATTTGCTATATTGGTAACTTTGTTTGTCCTCTTTAATGACAAGAACTTGTATTCTTGACATGTTCCATTTGTTTATTTGGAGCAGACTCCACAGGGGACAGCTGAGGGCTCAGTCTGTCATAAACACATGCATTAATCAGAGAAGCAGACAAGGTGCTAGGGAATTACATGATATGACTTAATAACATGTTTGGTCTCCACATCTTTCCTGTTTTTGCAACTTAACTAAAAGAGAAATATTTCTGATGTTGTTTGCAGGTGATGGATTTTCCTTGTGGCTTTGCAGCATCATGAGCATGCAGTTAACAGTCGGAACTCACAAGGAGATGAGGAATCCAAATGTGTTTTCGCTTCTCCTGACTGCATGAATGGATCTTTACATAAATCTCCTCAATTATTACAGTAATCATGTATATCACATATATATAGATAAGGTGCACCTAAACTTAAACACGCTATAATTCTATTCCACCCCCGATCCCTTAAAGCCCTGTGTGAAGTGAGCTGATGAAAATCCCTATATTATCCCTACATTTTAATTAAATTTTACACAGCCTTACAGCTTCTCCCGTATTCTCTGCTTTCCTCATGTCCCTAAATCTCCTCATAGCTTCTGCTCTGATTTTAATACATCCTGGTCTTTTCTGACCTGTAACATGATTACATCACCTGCTCCCTCTCACAGTGACCATTTAACAGAAAACAATATCTACTGCACCTACTGCATCGAGAAACCAGAGCCCTGCTGGGTAATGAATTACTGTCATTATGATCTGTCATTTGAGGAACAGCAGTGCCCCCTGTTGTTAGGCACCTATAAACACACGCACACGCGCGCGCGCGCGCACACACACACGCACACACACACACAGGAGGCTGAGAGAGGAGAAAAGGAGGAAGAAAGAAAAAGGTGGAGTGGTGAAAGAGCAGATGCTACAGAAAAGCAAGGGGCTAATGGGCAAAACATAATTAAGGAGGGTTTAAGGTGAAACAAAAAAAAAGTAAAGGTGAAGGAAGTAAAGAGGACACAAGGTGATAAATCCTCACGGTACTTCTTACAGTAATAGTGTTAGTGGTGTCAAATAATAGTCACATAATTCATTTACAATGAAATCTACTCCAGACACTAGATTTGATTGTAAATGAAATTGTAAATGAAATCTACTCTAGAACGATGTTGCACAGGCTTTTGATAAAACTGGAAAAACGCATAAGTGAGTGCTGCCTGATATTTTTGAAGAATGCAGGAATGTAGTGAAAGGGAGGATGGATGAAAAACCACAGAGAGAAAGTCGACAGGAAGAGCTGAGGAGACATCTGCATTGTGTTGTGTGTAGTGTGGGACAGAGCAGCTGTTGGACACATCGGGGGTCACAAGGAACGCTGCAGACCAGCAGTGTGTGCGTGTACGTGTGTGTATGCAAGTGTGAGCGTGACAGTGCATTTTATGATAATCGTGAAATGAAAATGAGATCATGGTTTGGCTGAGATGATGCATATGACAGGCCTGGCAGTTCCAACAAAAGAAAATGGCTGCGTAATCCAGCTGTTAGACAGATGCACAAAAAAAACAAAGCCAACATGACACGAGTGGTGGAAAAAGAATTCAACTCTGTTGAGTTGAAGCGTTAATGTAAAAAAGTGAAAAATGTAAGAATGAGAAATCTTAAAAGATCAACACCTCCCTGTAAACTGTACATTCAGTGTGAAGTGTCAGCCAACTTTTTGATTCAGGAAATAATCATGATTTGGGTTCAAATAAGCACTGTCATATGGTCAGAGTCATTATTAACCATATTAATGGTTATAGTATAGTTATAGTGTATATAAAGATGGACAACTTCTCCACTTCCTCCCAATTGTATAAAAAATGAAGCTAAAACCTCCAGGAGCTTTTGTCGTCATTTGGAGCCAGAGGCTTTGCAGTAGAGATTTTGGAGTGTGGAGCTCCAGGTGACACGCACACTCGACCAATCACAAGTCAGTTTCAACTGTCAACTATGGCATTAGAAAAAATAATTTGATCCATGCCCCTTCCCCTAACATGGAGGGGTTTATGTCCTATTCTGCAGTCCACCACCAGGGGGCCTATCAAGATGAGCTAGCTTCACTTCTGGGGAGTTGTCACGATGTCCATCTTTTTTAACAGTCTATGGTTTGAGACAGGAAACGAAGAGCAGCTTCTTGTCTCAAAGTCTTTTGTTTTGTTGAGCCACCCTCCCTATATTACCCTTAGAGCAAAGTCTAATAAGGCTGCTTGCACAGCAAAGCCATATGGTGTTTTATCAGGTGAGGACAGTTTTTAAAGAAAAATCTTAATTGCAAAGTAACAAATACCTATAGATGTCAGATAAATGTAGAGGGGTAAAAATGATGATGTCTCTCTCTGGGCTGTAGTGGAAGTACTTGACTAAATGTCCTCTCTGGTATAAACACATTCAGAGTCATTGGAAAAAGCTGGGTAGACAGATAACCACAGTTAATTAGCTATAAGGTTTCTGATAGCTTGTGGAAAACCATTTGCTGCTCGAGCCTGAGCTGACTATGCTGAACTTTGTTCACCAGCAGCTTTTTTTTTTCATTTGTTTGTTACATGCATTCAAAAAAGTCTTCAGGTCAAGCAAAAGCAAATGGTTCAGCAAAGCAAAGCAAACACGAGTCTCTGGGGAGGAAATAGACAGCAGATGATATGGCTGGCCAGGGTGAAGTCATCTCCAGGTCTTGAACTTATTTGTGGTGATGGACGTGGCATATTTCAGGGGTCGTGAAGAGGTCGAGATGTAGAGCAATAGCAAGAACACTTGTTTCAAAGTCCAGAAAAGAAACGCCCCCCCCCCACTGGCAAGAGGCTGTAAGGCAAAAAAGTTTACTAAGCCCATATTTGGCCATCATCATACACATCCGGACCACATACCACATTAAATAATAACACTTGGGTGGTACACTCCTGTTTGCCAGAACAGAAAAATAAAACTACCAAAATACCTTTTTTGACCCACTGCCTGAATTTGTATTACGTAACACTGAACGAATTGTGTGCCCAAACTCGTACCTGCACCTCCCATGACAACTAAAAATGTCTTTTACGAGATGTGTTCCACAGACAGACATTCATGGAATTATAAAATTATATGGAATTCCTCTCAGCACACCCAACTCTGAGTGACTTCTAGCATGTCCACAAATAACATTTTGGGAATCTGAGCATTTTGACCTAGCAGTATGTAACATGAAAACCTGCATGCCATTTTTACCTGAGAGTCCACCTCAGTCAAATGAAACCTTATTAGGACACTGACCAGAGAAAACCCTCAGCCAACATGTGGGCTTTGGTGAAAGCCTTTGTCCCAGCTTGTTTGGGCATCATTTGCATTAATTCTGGAGAAACACTAAATATTTGTGGATGCATGCAGCAGTCAGGGTTTGGAGTGTATTCCAAGGATATTAGCAACTCCAGGAAGAATAGAGGGGGGCCTGTCAAAAATGCGAGCAAAAACAAAATTTTCCTCAACATCCGATCCAAGATGTTCTACCTGACAGGATTTCCAAAGATTGTTTCAAGTGTCAAACATCAGTGTCTTGTGTACCAAATGTTTTGTTGAATAAAAAAAATTATGTGATTATTGTTTGTGGATTCATCTTCATGTGTAATTTATGTCAGACTACATGAAAATAATCTATTTAAAGAAACAAAAGGGAACATGTATCTCAGTCCTTCAGATCATGCATCACACTAAAAGTCTCACAGAGTTTTCCAAGACTCTCTGGCAGCAAAACACAACATGTGGTCATAGAGGAGCCCTGCAGCATCTTCATGAGTCTAACCAAGCTAAAACTAGTCCCTAACACTAAGCTGCTGATTGTTAGCAGGTCTTAATCTACACTATTTCTGCTGCATTATCCTCCCCTAACCAGAACAAGGCCCCAATCATATATAAATCACTCTCTTTCTGTTCTTTGCAAACGTCGTCATCAGAACTCTTGGATATTTTCACTTAAGAAATCTCATAATTCCTCCAACTAGGATTCAGGGAAGGCTGCTGCTGAAAGTCAGATGAGACGCCTGCAGCTCTCAGGATCCAAGCAGCTTTACTGGCCTCTTCGAAATGATCACAATGCACACTGTTCATCACCATCCATGACGGAGAAGAAGAGACAAAACAGCACGAAACCAAAAATCCACCACCAACATTACTGTAGGTGAAAAGCTGCTGCTGAGGAGAGAAACACTTGCAGGGCTCAGATCCAGGCTGGCAGAAGTAGAGGCTTTGGACTACAGCCAGTCTTCAAGTCTCAGCCAGACAGCTTTCTGATCAAGCTTGAAAACTGATCAAGTGAATGTGCAGATCTTCCCTTTTTGTATTTTCCCACTTCCAGCTCTCATCTACAAATCTATGTAATTTTAGATGAAA